GGTGCCATTGATCCAACCCTACTTGGATGAAACTAAACACAGACACTCGTACACAGACCCATGCTCGACCCTACCCTACAAAGCCTAACAACAGCAGTGCATAATAGGCACCTTTTACAAACTTATGGCAGGTATTCATTTGCCGGCATAACTTTTATTTGTTTGAATATTTTATATTAACTTCAAACTGTAGTGGAGAAAGGCATATTGATTAGGAGTATGGAGTATGGAGGGGTGTCCCTTTCAAAAATGACGAGAACAATGCCTGAATTTTATTAGGGGTTGCTATTTTTGCTTACTATTTATACACTTACAAGAAATTTCATACCCCTTCTAAGAATATCTATTTTAGTTAATACGTTACTAATTAATAATAAAGATATGTTATTAATTAGTTATTGATTATAGTAAAAAATAAATATATAATGTACAGTGAAAAATAATAAATAAATAAAACATTCAAGGGTTAAAACCAAAAATATATATAAAAAAGTAAAAATTGAGAAATAAAACACATTCTTGTTACTTATTTTTGTATTTAGTTAAATAAGGGGTTATGAATGGAATAAATTTTTTTACTATGATAAAGCTATTTCATCATGATGCTTTAGCACTTTTACGAATTTCTTTACATAAGTTCATTCAATATATATACAGGGACCGACCATTATATGTCCAAGCGGGTTCGTTTGTACTCGTTTTAACTTATTTTTTCAAGTAAGATTTTATTTAGGTATGAACATCCACTCGTTAAACTTTGAGGGGTGCTTCATGATATTAGGGCAGCTGCAACACAAGACTAAAAGCACAAAAAAAACATGAAAAAGGAGGTGGTGTCAACCATCGATTTGACAATAACACAAATAATATCTTATTCAACTCTTAAAAAAAGATATCTTATTCTTTAAGATATAATAAATAGTATTGATATACGAATCTAGTTTTTACATAAGGATTTATTAGTATCATTCAAGATTTCAGTCACTTTTGGATTTATATCTTAGACAGTATTTTGGGATCAAATCTCATATTTGATAGATCATCATGTGAATGCAAGAATCCGATTGATCCTTTAAAATGACCGGTAAGCCTTGATTCTCATAAACTCACAAATACAGTTATTATCTAAATATCCATACTTCATAAATAGTCTAGCTAGAATACGATCTATAGCTTATATTTCAGAATATATAGATGGGATTATTCTCTGTAAAAGTCTCCTAACTATCTATATTGATCCAAGAACAAAAAACATTCAATAAAATTGAAGACTAGTTGAAGTGGCATCAAGATTTTCACAAAAACTGTTTAAATCGTCATCTAGTCGAAAGAAGATCAATACAAGATAAAATCAAAAGTAGTCTAACAAATACAACTTCTGGCAAGCCAAAATTTGAGTGTAAACTTATCAAACAAGTTTGACTCACCAACTCTCATTCTGGTAGGGGAACATGTTTGGCATGCTAGATAAAGTAAGTTCTAAAGTACTATTTTATTGCTACCATAATGTTTGGCATGTTAGATAAAGTAAGTTCTAAAGTACTATTTTATTGCTAACATACTTTCTTTATTATTCCTCTGCATAAAGAAGGATTTATTGGATTAACAAGTGTTTACATCAACTTCAAAGGTTGATATGAAGAATACAAGCATACATGGATCAACAAATCAAGTAAAGACATACGTTAAAGTTGGAATGCAACATTTAATGCAATGATGGTTATAAAAAGTCATTATTGTCATTTGTTGCAACTCATCTGCCCATTTTGAAAGAAATTTTGAGTGATAGTCTCTTAAAAAGATGTCACCATATGAAGGACTATCTTAGTATTTAAGATATGAAAGAGTACCTCGCTCTCCCACTTTTTCAGTTGTTAGCAAACTTGTCACCAATGAGATTGTTTAGGATCAGGTCTTACCTTCCTAACTTCTGCAACAAAACTGTAATTCTTTGTTTAAATACAAAATATAGAGTCTAAAAGTAAAAAATTTTGTTGTGTTTGTATTCAAACACCCCGTCCTTATACAAACACACCCTATGTTAGTCATTACCTTCTAGGACCAACAAGTGGTGTCAAAGTTATCTGTTTAAATCTATAAACAAGATTCAAAATTACTTCCATAGCTAATGACGATGGCTCCCATATGTGTGTGTGTGTTGTGTAATATAATACAATATATACTATATTATAAAGCATTTGTGTTAAACTTTTAAAAACAATTATTAATGCATGAAGTACTGTTTAATTATACATATTACTTAAAATTCAAGATTACAAGTAATAGTACATGAGTATAGCATTTTAAAGCTATTAGAAGGGTACTCGCGTAATGCAGCGAGATACATCTTGATTTTAATGTTTTGTTTTATATTTTGGTTATATCGATGTTATAATGCGATTTTATGTTGTTTTGAGAAAAAGAAAAAATGTTTTTATTTTTGAATTAAATATAAATTTGAAGATATTATAAAATTTTGAAAAAAATAATCGATATTAGTATCAAATTAATTATTTAAAAGTTCTCATTTTTATGTAATTTCTTTAATTCAATTTTTTATTATAATT